GTACATAGCAGATTTATTAGTGTATGCAAACACCTTTGTACACATACAAATTATGCTACAGTACTGTACACACTATACTGCTGCATTCACCAGCAGATGCTGATGTCTTGAGCTTGTAATGCAAGCTGGCCAAATGGTTATATGATACAGGATGGTCTGCCTTTGTCCTGTACCTTCTATAGCAGGTGTTGCTAACTGCCTCCATGAAGGAGGGATTCTACATGTACTGTATATTGTACATACAGACGAGCATACACTGTTCACTCCACTAGGGTATTTTCACACTGATGAATGTACTGTATAGTAATATAACTAATAACTTTTATGTCTTAACACTTCTAATGATAGGCTGGTACAGTAATGTACAGGCCTGCACAATACAGATCGTATACATAACACCAGTGAGCGAGCAAACATGCTTGTACAATGGCAGGAGGCACTGAACTAAGAGTGTCATGATACAAGAGTTTGAGGAGATAGGTTGTGAGATACATCAGCCAATCATAGGCATCTCGTGCAGTCGCATGACAATAGCGGCCAATTGTAGCTCATGAGCACTCCGAGCCTACCCATCCGTGCATCCCTTTTTCAGAAACACGATGCAATCTTGGAAGTTCGTTCCGGTGCCTGGAATGGAGAGAGATTCCGGAAATGCAGATGGTAATATCCTCAGAAATTCGTTTACATGCTGGGAATACAGACATTTCTCAATGTAAAGAAGAAAAAAAATCTGGCTATTGGGGAGTTGCAGGTATCAAAGACTCTGGCTAATGGGGAGTTTATTAGATACACTGTATACAATTAATTCCTGAATTTCGTTTTTATTTTTGTGCACAGAAACATTAATGTTTTCCAACTTTAAATTATAGATTAAACTACCATATCTATAACTTTCAAGAACCATTAAATGTAATGTAGTACTCCAGTATTTATATGTGCCATAAGGTGAAATTCTGAATTTTTGTAATAGCACCATCCAAGAGGCAACATGGCTGGAGCTGCACTCAAGGCCCTTAGCAATCCCAACTACAGTGTTACGTTCGGTAACCATTCACTACTGGGCTGACTGGAAGTGCCCCTGGCGCACCCACCCCCACCCATAATTGTAGGGATTAGATATAATTTTCTTACAATTTAAAAATAATAATTTTTTTGTGAGTGACAATTTCTTACCAACTTCTCTTTTAAAGCAATAATAAAAAATGGGAAATGACGTCAATTACCAGACCCTCAGATGTGTAAGATTTTCTGTTGTGAGAATTCTGTGGGGTCATGTACAACACCTTCATAATGGTAAGTAGTATACACTACAGTACTTGCTTAGACTTGGGAAATTCTAGTTAAATTCCATTCTGATAAATTTTATCTTTGTTCTTTAAATGTATGCTTTCTTTTCCAAGTTATTAACAGTTGAATGATCCATACTTGGTAACAATGTTGGACAATATGACATTACTACACAGTTTAAAGATCTATACTTGGTAACAGTGTTCAAAAATACTATTTAATTGAATTGTAATGAGGTTGGATAGTTACCTTCCACATACCTGTTATGTACTTAAGAAGTAATTAATTGCCGATACAGGTATCTCCCATTTAGCGCTAATTTACTTAATAATTCACTTTAGTGGTATACTGTATATAGATTTTTTGGACATCCTTTCTCATTTGACATTAGGGCAATACTGTATACAGTTTAGTGATAGCTTGACTCACTGTGAAAGGGGAAAACTGTGGATGAAGGCAGCCAAAGGGATGGTATGTTGTCATTGCTACATGTAATGAAACTATAAAATTATTGAAAATCATTACAATACTTGTACTTTAATGTGGCTTTGAAATAAAGAAAATATATGAAAAGATAAAATAAAAAAAAATAAAGAGCACTGGTGTATGGGAAGTGAGCATATGTGTGGAGGCAGTGGGCTGTAACTGCATCTACTCGCCACCTCAGCCTTGCACTCCCTCCCCCGATCTGATGTTATGACGCACAATTCTTGAGTAAGCTGAGTGACTGCCAGGCTGAGCTATATCATATTGCTCAGCAGAAGGTTTGAGTGTGGAAGGAGTTATTTTTGTACATAGTATATGTGCTATTGTATTTTATAATATGCTATATATCAATTATTAAATTTCCTTCAATAATGTCTCACTGAATTTGTCCTCAAAATTTATTATGCATGATGATAACCATATTGGCCAGAGTACTGAGCTCCTCCAGTTGGCAGGGTTTATGGTGACATGGATATCCTTAATGATAAGATATAAATCATCTGTTAAATGGTAGTCTTAGGTATGTTTTTAACATAATTTTTCTTTTTTGGGACTTAAGGTATTGACGATGTAAAGATTCATCATCTGTGCAGGAATTGCACTAGATGCTTCATCCCCAAAAGACAAGAATATTGAAGAGGACAAGCAAACTCTGTTCACCTGACCAATTGCTGTTAGTTTCTGCACTAAGATATTCACTTTATGGTGCTTATGCCCATTGTTGGGTATGATTCAGCAGCAAAGACCAAACACTGCTCTCAATTAGCTTCAGCAAGATTCTCATTCATAATGTTCATGTAAGTATATGAAAAATTTGAAAATAATGATTATTTTTTCAGTAAACAGGGAGTCTAATGGTCTGAAAATCCTGGAAAAGGCAGGGAATTTTATTTGGGGTTGGAAAACCTGGAAAAGGCAGGGAATTTTATTTGGGGTTGGAAAACCTGGAAAGACCAGTGAAATTTACAAATCAACCTGGAGTTTTGTGTGAATTCGGTTTAACTTAAAAATGTTCTTATTTTGACAGCAATCTTACAATAAATTAATGATGTACTGTACTATATAATGGGTAAATAATTAAACTTTTAGGAACAAATTCCAGTAAATAGTCCACTCCAATAACTGAATTGTTTGTGTACCTCTCTTATTTCATGTTAGCGATCAAACACCAATTATTACAGTTAACACCTACTAATTCTGCATTGAATATTGTCAGAGATAAATTGTTCTTATAATTAAGTGACTATTTAAGTTGATTATTCTACATATTTATAATGAGTCGTATAGGTGGATCAGGGGTGTGATTTTTCAGTTTTTGCTGGATTTCCAGCTTTTTGGGAATGTCTAGGTTGACCCACGTGTATCGCACCAATCCCAGGGAAAATATGAAGGGGGTCAAGGTCTTTTCTGATATTCATCACTAGGCCTAGTAATCATCCTGATCATGGATGGTTAAATAAAATAGTCAGTCCGGTAGCCAGTGGCAATTATCATCTTTAAATTTGCCAGTAGTATATACAGTACATATTAGTGAAAACCTCTAATTATGTCATTGTCTTAATTAATACCGAATTAAAGTAGTCTCGTTCAAGATTCTTCAAACACTGCTGGAGACAGCTGGCAACTCAAGGCCGTTTGTTTACTGTAATACGTAGTTTAATATAATACAAAACAACAAAGCCAAACCATTAATTAAGGAACGGGAAACTAAGTAACCAATCACTGATCACTTTTACATTCATTCGTAGTTTTTACTACGTACTATAATAAACAAACGGCCTTGAGTTGCCAGCTGCCTCCAGCAGTGTTTGAAGAATCTTGAACGAGACTGTACCTGGAATTTTCAAATTAATGTCTGGAAAACCTATAAAAATCTGGGAATTTTCTTTTGTCTGCCCAGTTGACAACCTGGGAGAGTATTGCAATGTTAAATTCCTGTAAGTCTCATTAACCAAATGGCTTCTAAAATTTCATTTCCATAAACTTCATGGATAAAATTCACTGATTTCCCAACTGCCAGCAAGCAACCTTACACTGTACTTTTCCAGACAATGGTCTCCTTACCTACTCACCTGGAATACATGCACCCACTCATAACTCCATAATGCCTCGCATGTTTTCATTTGAAACAAATTAAAAGTCCACCAGGCATTGGTGAACCCAACATTCCCCGCTATGGCACCATTCTGGTGACATACATACAGGCCACCACCACCTCCCATCCTCAACCACCTTACCTAACATCTCACCTTTCTGTTATATACAACACAATGTTGCATCACCTTCTCTGATACCACAATGTGCCACATGTTTTCATTTAAACAAGATATAATATAAACGTGTGTGAAATTAACACTAACCATATGTATGCATCCTTGTTCTTCGTACAGATCCCTTCTTTCCTTGTATCTTCACCAAAGCAAAGACTTGGGTAAAACACATAAAACATAGTAAACATGTACCAATCTTAATAGAGAGAGAATTGAAAGTACAGAATCCTTGCCAAATAGTTCTCATCATGAACTTTTGATGAAAGAGTTTTGAACCCAAGAATTTGTTGACACATTGCTTACTCACGGAACAGCAATTTTGTGAAATTCAAAATCGCGACCTTGTGATATATTATTATACATAATAGGTTTAATCAATGTTTATTTTTCAAACATTTTTATACATTTTATGATGATAACCATATAGGCCAGAGTTCTGAGCTCCTGCAGTTGGCAGGATTGTGGTGACATTTATGCCTTTACTGATTTTGATTTAAATTAATACAATAAGAGTCTTAGATATGCTTTTACCAATAATTTCTCTTGGTATTGATTTCAGGTGCTGAAGCCTTCTGTACAGACTTCGTCCATGATGTTTCTTACCTTAAACATGAGGATAATAAGAAGACAAACCAACTATCAAAATGTCTGACCAGTGGTTCTTCAAGGCTGTGCACTGGGGAATCCACCTTAACTTCATGCAAAATATTGGGTATGGTAAGGAAGCAAACACTATGTGCATGTTCCCAAATTCCTTCATTAAGATTTCTCATATCATTTATGAAAATATATATGAAAAATTTAATTTAACATTAAATAACCATATGTTCACAGGGTTAGGTTGCACCACCACAATAATGCCACATTATTATCTTTAATGTGTTCAATGATATGAACCTAAGAATTTGTTTCTACAGTACAGTAGAAGTCCAAAAATCCGGACTGCTTGGGGATTGGGTCGGTCCGGATTTTCGTATTTTCCGGATTCTCAGGTAGTACTTTTAAAATTCAAATTTAAGGAGGAATAAAGAAGAGATGAACAGGTACATTTTGATAGTTTATTCATTAGCAAATATAGCATGCTTCATTTATCAAAACGAGCAGTTTTAATGAAAAAGCTGTGAATTCTAGAATTTTATTCTTTGCCTTTTTTATATCATAAATTGTAGACTTTCCAATGTCGTATGTTTCCATTAGAACAGTATTGCTCACAGCACGTTCTAGTTTCTTAATTATTTCAAGTTTGTCACTCAATTTCAACGTGTTCTTCTTTCTTTTCACACAACGAAGTTTATCTACTTTAGGAGACATTATTATGGGCTTGTACAGTACTCTGTAAATGGAAAGAGTAGGACTCAAAATATTGTTATATTACAATGGTATTCTATTCATACTGTGCTTGATATAATGCACTCACGGAAATGTAATATTTTTGCTGAAATGACGTACGTATTACAGTGGAAAGTGGGATAAAATCGTGACGAAAACAATGACTTTCGCTTTCTTTCGTTCAAAAGATGTTACCGTAATCGCTTTTCGAATGGTTTTCAGTTAAAAAACTGTTGTATTACAATAATATTATATCCTAATTGACTTGAATAAATAATACGATACCATATTTCTGAATATTTTCATTAAAATCCATCAAAATCATTTTACTTGTCATCGTCTGCAGCACCAAACAGCTTCTCCCAGTCCTCTCCTTGAACAGGGCTAGAGGGTACGTGTTTTTCGAATTGTTTTCAGTTAAAAAACTATTACATCACACGTATATTTTACCTAAACAGCGCCTCAGTATGAATATATTCTCGGAAATAAATGCTGTAGTAGTTTTGCTGAAACGTGATGTATTTCAATGTAAAATAGGATAACTTACATGACGAAAACAAATGACTTTACCTAAGCTTCTGATGTTCTTGAGATGTTACTCGATTTTTTTATAGTTTTCGGTTAAAATTCTGTTATATTACAATGATATTCTATACTGTGCTTGATATAATACATTCACGGAAATGTAATATTTTTGCTGAAATGACGTACGTATAACAGTGGAAAGTGGGATAAAATCGTGACGAAAACAATGACTTTCACTTTCTTTCGTTCAAAAGATGTTACCGTAATCACTTTTTGAATGGTTTAGTTAAACTGTTGTATTATAATAATATTCCCTCCTAATTGACTTGAATAAATACTTGAATGGAAATATACAATATTTTTGTTGAAACTACCCGCGTTTCAGTATAAAGTGTCGTAATAATAAATGGTAAACAATTTGCCTTCGGCACTCGTGTTTCAGGCACGGCGAGCCTCAGTTTATAGGACGTAGAGCGTTTTTACTGAAGGTTTTGTTGTTCCATTACCCTCAAAAACGTAGATCGAACTATAAACGAGGAATATCATAAATTAACGATTTCTTGGTAAAAAATCAGGGTCGACCTATCAACGAGGGGGGTTATAGATGAGTATATACGGTATGTTGTCACAGTTTGATTGCTCGTTTTAAAGTGGCGACCACGTGGTCGCTTGTCGCTGTGCAGCTGTGGCGTTCACGCATGCACACATACACAAAAGCCCGCTAAAAAAAATAGTTTTCGAAAAGTCCGGATTCTCGGGTGGTCCGGATTTCTGGCATCCGGATTTTTGGACTTTTACTGTACATATCTTACCCATACACTGATTATTTTAAAAAAAATTTAATTTGCAAATTTGTGGTTTTCTGCTTTACTTATAAGTCTGAGTTTCTCTAGATATTAAAATATTTTATGATGATAAACTCTTAGGCCAGAGTTCTGAGCTCCTGCAGTAGACAAGGGCTTATGGGGATACTTTTATCCTTCCTGATAAAATATAAATATTCACTTTAGTAAAAGGCATGCTGTCTTTTAAACTTCAATTTTTTCTTTTTGGTAACTTCTGGTGCTGATGTCTTCCCTGTAAAAATTTTCCACGGTGTTTCATCTTGTATGTATAGGGAAATGAAAAGAGGACAAAGCACTATCCATTCACCTTAATAAAGAATTTGCCAGAATGTGCAGTGGGATGTCTACCAAACTTATTGGTCAATGTATTATTCCCAATATTGGTTCAGCAACAAAGACCAAGTTCATGCTGTAAAGTGAGGGTAAGTTCCTTATTCATAACACTTGTACTGTATAAGTATTGGGGGTCCTCGCTATATTTTGTACCGATATACATTATTTCACACACGTAGCTAACAAATATAGGAAGAAATTTTTGTTGTATTGTACTTCAGATGGTTCACATACAGTACACGTCGTTTGCATCATCCACTATTTTATACTAAGTCTGTGTGTACCCAAATATGATGCATAAATAATATGAAAACATCTAATATAATGTACAAATAAACCTAATAAGTAATAAACATGCTCTACAAGTGTTAAGTTTCTACCTCGCCAAAATACATCAGTCGCCCCTTACACGACTGCATGTTAATGCCATTCTTATCTTACCTTAGAATTTGCAAAAAAGTCACTTCAATGTGCTAGTGTGCCTTATGAATAAAGGAATACATAAGAAATGGTTATTCCCTTTATGTTATTGACCTTATAATAATGTTTTTTCTTCATTTACTATGACATCACCCACACCTTTCTGCTTTCTCTTGACCTTGAAGGTCTTTTTCCACTCATCTTGAATAAGGGTACACAGTAACAGATGCATAACTGAACACAAACTGGGGAAAGAGTTCTAACTGAGCAGTACCATTGTTGTGGTGGCAGCTGGGAAGGTGAGCTGCCCTTCAACCATCTTGTAACTACTGTACCACCAGAATCCACACAAGAAACTTTTTATAATTTCAGCAAGTTTTGGGGTTCTATATCATGATTTTTCCTTTTGAAAATCTTAACAAATTAACCAGAAGTCCTGAACACACATTCATAACTGAACACAATTTCTGGGGAAGAATTCTAATTGAAGAATGCCATTACGTATTGTGGCTGCTGGCTCCTGGGTAAGTGAGCAGCCATCCGACCATCTTGTGGTTACCACCAAGAATCTACACAAAATAAATTTTATAATTTTTTTGATTTTCTTTGTTCTTTACCACGATTTTCATATTTATTTATTTATTTATTTATTTTTTTTTTTTACCAAAATAACTAATGGCGAATTTTTTGTCCTTATTGCAAATTTTTGGGTCCTAATTTCAAACTTCTGTAAGGGGAATTGTTCGTAAACCGGGATTCCATATCGCGAGGGTTGCCAATGTGATGATAACCATATAGGCCAGAGTACTGAACTCCTCCATTTGGCAGGGTTTATGGTTTATACTGATAATATATAAATCATCTGTTATAAGAATCTTAGGTATATTTTAACATAATTTTTCTTTTTTGGGAATTACAGCAATAATGATGTTAATATTCATCATCTGTGCAGGAATTGCACTAGATGCTTCATCCACTAAGCACAAGGATACTGAGGAGAGGACAAGCAAACTCTGTTCACCTGACCAATTGCTGGGAGTTTCTGCACTGAGGAATTTACTTTATGCACCTTATGCCTATTGCTAGAAAAGATTCGGCAACAAAGATCCAATTAACTTCAGCAAGATTCTCATTCATAATGTTCATGTAAGTACAGTTTATGACTTTTTTTTTTCAGAATAAAAATTTTATCATAAAGTATTGCAAGGTTAAGTGCCTGTAAGCCTCATGAACCAAATGACTTCTTGAATTTCATTTACATGGAAAAAATTTATTGATTTCCCAACTGCCAGCAAGCAACCTTACACTGTACTTTTCCAGACAATGATCTCCTTACCTACTCACCTAGAATACATGCACCCACTCATAACTCCATAATGCCTCACATGTTCTCATTTGAAATAAATTAAAAGTCCACCAGGCATTTGTGAACCCAACATTCCCCGCTATGGCACTATTCTGGTGACGTACATACAGGCCCTCACCACCTCCCATCCTCAACCACCTTACCTAACATCTCACCTTTCTGTTATATACAACACAATGTTGCATCACCTTCTCTGATACCACAATGTGCCACATGTTTTCATTTAAACAAGATATAATATAAACGTGTGTGAAATTAACACTAACCATATGTATGCATCCTTGTTCTTCGTACAGATCCCTTCTTTCCTTGTATCTTCACCAAAGCAAAGACTTGGGTAAAACACATGAAACATAGTAAACATGTACCAATCTTAATAGAGAGAGAATTGAAAGTACAGAATCCTTGCCAAATACTTCTCATCATGAACTTTTGATGAAAGAGTTTTGAACCCAAGAATTTGTTGACACATTGCTTACTCACGGAACAGCAATTTTGTGAAATTCAAAATCGCGACCTTGTGATATATTATTATACATAATAGGTTTAATCAATGTTTATTTTTCAAACATTTTTATATATTTTATGATGATAACCATATAGGCCAGAGTTCTGAGCTCCTGCAGTTGGCAGGATTGTGGTGACATTTATGCCTTTACTGATTTTGATTTAAATTAATACAATAAGAGTCTTAGATATGCTTTTACCAATAATTTCTCTTGGTATTGATTTCAGGTGCTGAAGCCTTCTGTACAGACTTCGTCCATGATGTTTCTTACCTTAAACATGAGGATAATAAGAAGACAAACCAACTATCAAAATGTCTGACCAGTGGTTCTTCAAGGCTGTGCACTGGGGAATCCACCTTAACTTCATGCAAAATATTGGGTATGGTAAGGAAGCAAACACTATGTGCATGTTCCCAAATTCCTTCATTAAGATTTCTCATATCATTTATGAAAATATATATGAAAAATTTAATTTAACATTAAATAACCATATGTTCACAGGGTTAGGTTGCACCACCACAATAATGCCACATTATTATCTTTAATGTGTTCAATGATATGAACCTAAGAATTTGTTTCTACAGTACAGTAGAAGTCCAAAAATCCGGACTGCTTGGGGATTGGGTCGGTCCGGATTTTCGTATTTTCCGGATTCTCAGGTAGTACTTTTAAAATTCAAATTTAAGGAGGAATAAAGAAGAGATGAACAGGTACATTTTGATAGTTTATTCATTAGCAAATATAGCATGCTTCATTTATCAAAACGAGCAGTTTTAATGAAAAAGCTGTGAATTCTAGAATTTTATTCTTTGCCTTTTTTATATCATAAATTGTAGACTTTCCAATGTCGTATGTTTCCATTAGAACAGTATTGCTCACAGCACGTTCTAGTTTCTTAATTATTTCAAGTTTGTCACTCAATTTCAAGTGTTCTTCTTTCTTTTCACACAACGAAGTTTATCTACTTTAGGAGACATTATTATGGGCTTGTACAGTACTCTGTAAATGGAAAGAGTAGGACTCAAAATATTGTTATATTACAATGGTATTCTATTCATACTGTGCTTGATATAATGCACTCACGGAAATGTAATATTTTTGCTGAAATGACGTACGTATTACAGTGGAAAGTGGGATAAAATCGTGACGAAAACAATGACTTTCGCTTTCTTTCGTTCAAAAGATGTTACCGTAATCGCTTTTCGAATGGTTTTCAGTTAAAAAACTGTTGTATTACAATAATATTATATCCTAATTGACTTGAATAAATAATACGATACCATATTTCTGAATATTTTCATTAAAATCCATCAAAATCATTTTACTTGTCATCGTCTGCAGCACCAAACAGCTTCTCCCAGTCCTCTCCTTGAACAGGGCTAGAGGGTATGTGTTTTTCGAATTGTTTTCAGTTAAAAAACTATTACATCACACGTATATTTTACCTAAACAGCGCCTCAATGAATATATTCTCGGAAATAAATGCTGTAGTAGTTTTGCTGAAACGTGATGTATTTCAATGTAAAATAGGATAACGTACATGACGAAAACAAAAGACTTTACCTAAGCTTCCGATGTTCTTGAGATGTTACTCGTTTTTTTAATAGTTTTTGTTAAAATTCTGTTATATTACAATGATATTCTATACTGTGCTTGATATAATACATTCACGGAAATGTAATATTTTTGCTGAAATGACGTACGTATTACAGTGGAAAGTGGGATAAAATCGTGACGAAAACAATGACTTTCACTTTCTTTCGTTCAAAAGATGTTACCGTAATCACTTTTTGAATGGTTTAGTTAAACTGTTGTATTACAATAATATTCCCTCCTAATTGACTTGAATAAATACTTGAATGGAATATACAATATTTTTGTTGAAACTACCCGCGTTTCAGTATAAAGTGTCGTAATAATAAATGGTAAACAATTTGCCTTCGGCACTCGTGTTTCAGGCACGGCGAGCCTCAGTTTATAGGACGTAGAGCGTTTTTACTGAAGGTTTTGTTGTTCCATTACCCTCAAAAACATAGATCGAACTATAAACAAGGAATATCATAAATTAACGATTTCTTGGTAAAAAATCAGGGTCGACCTATCAACGAGGGGTTATAGATGAGTATATACGGTATGTTGTCACAGTTTGATTGCTCGTTTTAAAGTGGCGACCACGTGGTCGCTTGTCGCTGTGCAGCTGTGGCGCTCACGCATGCACACGTACACAAAAGCCCGCTAAAAAAAATAGTTTTCGAAAAGTCCGGATTCTCGGGTGGTCCGGATTTCTGGCATCCGGATTTTTGGACTTTTACTGTACATATCTTACCCATACACTGTTTGTTTTATAATTTTTTTAATTTGCAAATTTGTGGTTTTCTGCTTTACTTATAAGTCTGAGTTTCTCTAGATATTAAAATATTTTTTGATGATAAACTCTTAGGCCAGAGTTCTGAGCTCCTGCAGTAGACAAGGGCTTATGGGGATACTTTTATCCTTCTTGATAAAATATAAATATTCACTTTAGTAAAAGGCATGCTGTCTTTTTAACTTCAATTTTTTCTTTTTGGTAACTTCTGGTGCTGATGTCTTCCCTGTAAAAATTTTCTACGGTGTTTCATCTTGTATGTATAGGGAAATGAAAAGAGGACAAAGCACTATCCATTCACCTTAATAAAGAATTTGCCAGAATGTGCAGTGGGACGTCTACCAAACTTATTGGCCAATGTATTATTCCCAATATTGGTTCAGCAACAAAGACCAAGTTCATGCTGTAAAGTGAGGGTAAGTTCCTTATTCATAACACTTGTACTGTATAAGTATTGGGGGTCCTCGCTATATTTTGTACCGATATACATTATTTCACACACACGTAGCTAACAAATATAGGAAGAAATTTTTGTTGTATTGTACTTCAGATGGTTCACATACAGTACACGTCGTTTGCATCATCCACTATTTTATACTAAGTCTGTGTGTACCCAAATATGATGCATAAATAATATGAAAACATCTAATATAATGTACAAATAACCCTAATAAGTAATAAAAATGCTCTACAAGTGTTAAGTTTCTACCTCGCCAAAATACATCAGTCACCCCTTACACGACTGCATGTTAATGCCATTCTTATCTTACCTTAGAATTTGCAAAAAAGTCACTTCAATGTGCTAGTGTGCCTTATGAATAAAGGAATACATAAGAAATGGTTATTCCCTTTATGTTATTGACCTTATAATAATGTTTTTTCTTCATTTACTATGAAATCACCCACATCTTTCTGCTTTCTCTTGACCTTGAAGGTCTTTTTCCACTCATCTTGAATAAGGGTACACAGTAACAGATGCATAACTGAACACAAACTGGGGAAAGAATTCAAACTGAGCAGTACCATTGTTGTGGTGGCAGCTGGGGAGGTGAGCTGCCCTTCAACCATCTTGTAACTACTGTACCACCAGAATCCACACAAGAAACTTTTTATAATTTCAGCAAATTTTGGGGTTCTATATCATGATTTTTCCTTTTGAAAATCTTAACAAATTTACCAGAAGTCCTGAACACACATTCATAACTGAACACAATTTCTGGGGAAGAATTCTAATTGAAGAATGCCATTATTGTTGCTGCTGGCTCCTGGGTAAGTGAGCAGCCATCCGACCATCTTGTGGTTACCGCCAAGAATCCATACAAAATAAATTTTATAATTTTGGTGATTTTCTTTGTTATTTACCATGATTTTCATATTTAATTTTTTTTTTTACCAAAATAACTAATGGTGAATTTTTTGTCCTTATTGCAAATTTTTGGGTCATAATTTCAAACTTCTGTAAGGGGAATTGTTCGTAAACCGGGATTCCATATCGCGGTGGTTGCCTGTATGATGATAACCATATAGGCCAGAGTACTGAACTCCTCCAATTGGCAGGGTTTATGGTTTATATTGATAATATATAAATCATCTGTTATAAGAATCTTAGGTATATTTTAACATAATTTTTCTTTTTTGGGAATTACAGCAATAATGATGTTAATATTCATCATCTGTGCAGGAATTGCACTAGATGCTTCATCCACTAAGCACAAGGATACTGAGGAGAGGACAAGCAAACTCTGTTCACCTGACCAATTGCTGGGAGTTTCTGCACTGAGGAATTTACTTTATGCACCTTATGCCTATTGCTAGAAAAGATTCGGCAACAAAGATCCAATTAACTTCAGCAAGATTCTCATTCATAATGTTCATGTAAGTATATGACTTTTTTTCAGAATAAAAATTTTATCATAAAGTATTGCAAGGTTAAGTGCCTGTAAGCCTCATGAACCAAATGACTTCTTGAATTTCATTTACATGGAAAAAATTTATTGATTTCCCAACTGCCAGCAAGCAACCTTACACTGTACTTTTCCAGACAATGGTCTCCTTACCTACTCACCTGGAATACATGCACCCACTCATAACTCCATAATGCCTCGCATGTTCTCATTTGAAATAAATTAAAAGTCCACCAGGCATTTGTGAACCCAACATTCCCCACTATGGCACTATTCTGGTGACGTACATACAGGCCCTCACCACCTCCCATCCTCGACCACCTTACCTAACATCTCACCTTTCTGTTATATACAACACAATGTTGCATCACCTTCTCTGATACCACAATGTGCCACATGTTTTCATTTAAACAAGATATAATATAAACGTGTGTGAAATTAACACTAACCATATGTATGCATCCTTGTTCTTCGTACAGATCCCTTCTTTCCTTGTATCTTCACCAAAGCAAAGACTTGGGTAAAACACATGAAACATAGTAAACTTGTACCAATCTTAATAGAGAGAGAATTGAAAGTACAGAATCCTTGCCAAATAGTTCTCATCATGAACTTTTGATGGAAGAGTGTAGAACCCAAGAATTTGTTGACACACATTGCTTACTCACAGAACAGCAGTTGTATGAAATTCAAAATTGCAACCTTGTGATACTTTATTGTACATTATAGTTTTAATTCATTTATTTTCTTCAAACATTTTGATATATTTTCTGATGATATCCATATAGGCCAGAGTTCTGAGCTCCTGCAGTTGGCAGGGGATTGTGGTGACATTTATTTATGTTTTTTCTGATATGATTTAAATTAATACAATAAGAGAGTATTAGATATGCTTTTACCAATAATTTCTCTTGGTTCGGATTTCAGGTGCTGACTTCGTCCATGATGTTTCTTACCTTAAGCATAGGGATAATAAGAAGACAAACCAACTGTCAATATGTCTGACTAGCTGTTCTTCTACACTGTGCACTGGGGAATCCACCTAAACTTAACTCCCTAGCCCCAACTATGGTGCCACTGACAGTGTCCCCCCATGCTGGGGTAAATCGAGAAAAATCAAAACTATTCCAAGAATAATTTTTATCCTTTTTAAATTATAAAACAATTAAAAATGAGTAAGAAAAACTACATATTGACCCTGTAGAAACTTCCTTGTGGCAGCAGTGGCGAGGGAAATAAAGGGAGTGTTGTTTTGACAGCTGACGCTTCTGGTCACTCCGCACTTAGCAGCCATTTTCTGCTTGCCATTGTGTCCGGGATGGCCAGTAATACATACATTTACTGATCATAATACTTATTTGTTGTGAATAATTCTTTTAGAATATTTTATTTGCATTATTTTTCATAAAAAAGTGCACGGCAACACACACGCAGTCAGTCGCCAGGCTGTCTTTGTGTTTGGTAGGGCAAGTAATGCATAAATTAATAATAATTCCACAAATAAATACTTTTATAACATAATCATAGCATTATTATCCGGTATTCTACTCAACTACAATACAACTACACTACTTTTATCAATATGAAACAAAGAAAAGTAGGTAATTACGTTCAGGAAGCCTTCCTGTGGCCGAGGTTTGGCGTGACAGGCAAATAATCACACGGGAACTGATAATCAGCACTGGGCATTTAAACTGGCGGGAAAAGGCATGCGTTCTGGAATGTCACCCAGGGCCTTCCAGTCGCATGTTCCGGTATTTCGCCCGAGGCATAAGGGTAAATGCGTAAATACTCTATGCTAAATATTGGTTATTGTTCAGCAGCAAACAGTGTGTGCATGTTCCCAAATGCTTTCATTAAGATTTCTCATATCATTTATGAAAGTATATATGAAAAATTTAACATTAAATAACCATAAGTTCACAGGGTTAGGTTGCACCACCACAATAATTCCACCCTATTGTCTTACTGTGTTCAATGATATGAACCTAAAAAAAAAATTATATACAGTATATCTTACCCAGACACTGAGTGTTTTATAAATGTAACAATTTGCAAACTTGTGGTTTTCTGCTCTATTAATAAATCTGAATTTGTCTAGATATTAAAATATTTTATGATGATAAACCTTTTAGGGCAGAGTTCTGAGCACCTGCAGTAGACAAGGGCTTATGGGATACTTTTATCCTTCCTGATAAAATATAAATATTCACTGTAGTAAAAGGTTTAATGTGTTTTTTTACTTACAATTTTTATCTGTAGAAACTTCTGATGCTGATGTCTTCCCCATAAAAAATTCCTACGGTGTTTCATCTTGTATATATAGGGATAATGAGAAGAGGATAAGCACTATCCATTCACCTGACTAAAGATTTTGAGAGACTGTGCAGTGGGAAGTCTACCAAACTGAGTGGCCAATACATTAATCCTAATATTGGTTAAGCAACAAAGACCAATTTCATGCTCTAAAGTGATATAAGTAAGTTTCTTATTCATAACACTTGTGTAAGTACTGGGGGTCCTCGCTATATGTTGTACAATTGTGGATGTTTTATCTGCGGTACTGATATACAGAGAGCTCCAAATAGTGGCTGTATTTCTGAACACATTAATTTAAAATTAACGCAAAGTAATTCTTGGGCCCCCTGCATTGTTTTGATAGCATCACCGATGTTAGTTGTGCCACTGTTACCCATTACAGCCAGCGTCAGTGAAAACGTATGTTAGGTATTTTTCCTGTGTATATTTCTGCTGCATATTTAGTCCACTTTTATATATCCCTCACATTGTCACAAAGGCTTGCAGGAAGACTCTCAGATGGGAAGAGTGCCAAAAAGAAGTGTATGGCATTTTGTATAAAGAAAAAAGTAGAGTTACTATAGTGTCTAGAATCTATATAAAGGTGCCTCAATAAAATCATTAAGTGACAAATAGGGCGTTGGTTATGCTACCATGCATAATTTGAGGAAACAAAATGATAAACTGTTAAATTTATACAGGGATAGAGGTGCACCAAAGTTAATGGCAGCTAGGAAAACACTACATCATGGGAAGAATGTTGCTATAGACAGTGTCAATGGAATGGATCCGACAAGTTCGCAGTGAAAAGTTCCCTCTGACTCATTCCCTCATCATGGGCCAGGCAAAAATATTCCATGAACAGTTAGGCATCACAACACCTTGTGAGTGTTCATCAGGTTTATATGGGAAATTTTGGAAACAGAATGGACTTCGTATCTTGGTTATATGCGGTGAAAAAGCATCAGCTGATGATGGTACTGAAGCCTATTAAGAGGAATTGAATAAATTAATTACTGATGTACAATGCTGATAAAACTTCTTCATATTGTAGGTATCTTCCACAGAAGATGGTTGCACACCACAGGAATCTGCACCAAGTGGGCTTAAAGACTCAAAAGAAAGACTAACTCTGCTTGGGTGTTCTAATGCAGAAGAGACACATAAAGCAAAATTGCTTATTATTTGAAAAAGGAGAATCCCACAAGCATTAAAAGATGTCAAAGCTTTGCTAGTTAAATATATGGCTAATAAGCGAGCATGAGTAACCAGACACCATCTTAGACTGGTTTGAAAACCATTTTGTTCATTAGGCTAGGGCATACTGTACATCTGCAGAGCTTGCCAGTGCTGCCAAAATTATGTTAGTTTTAGATAATTGCTCTTTGCACCCCAATGCAAAGTTCTTTGTCAAAAATATTGTTTCCTGTTTATTTACTACCTAACTGTACATCCTTGATTCAGCCTCTTGGCCAAGGAATTCTGTGGTCATTCAAGTCACATTATAAGGGTGATTTCTTAAAAAATTGTTGGCAGAATGCAATAAAGGAATTTCAAAGTACAGTACAGTATTTCTCCTTTCAACAAACTAATCTGCACCACCCCTGTTCATTAAATCAAAATTTCCGCCAAATTGAGCTTTCCGTTATATTCGCTTGATTTACCAAACTATTTCACTAAATTGAGCATGATTCAGTTAAATTGCACGTCACTTGGCGTGTCGGGATTGTTTACATCTGCTCAGTCTGTGTCCTGACACCACCGCGTGTGTTATTCACTGCTACCTCTCGGTCAACTAACTACACTGGAGCACCTTATCTTTCGTCTTTATTCAAGACATTTTCAGGGATGGAATGTCAGGTCACCCTTTCTTGGGTGGGGGGATCAGTGGGTCTCATGACCAGATGATATCTTAAATAAATATGAACATAACCGCCGTCCGGGCGGTTAAAGGAAGAATGAGACTTCTGTCGTTGTACACGAACATTATAATTCGGTCAAACCTGTCGAATACAATTCATTTTAGTATTTCAAATAAATCATACATAGGCACTCCTACATAAATGTTTAATTCAATATATATTTACATAATCATGGCTATGTAATTAGTCTAATCTTAACACTTACAATGAGTACTCAATTTGCCATATATCTATATTGTCACACTGATAAATGATGCAATGGACACAGTCTACCTGTGTATACAATAAGTACTAGTTAGAGAGAAGCCAGGTTAGGTGTTGCCTCTTAAATATGGGTAGCTATACTGAAATGCCCACCCTATAGCCTGGCCCCCTGGTTGGTCGGCTATGGCTGAGTCAGGAGATTATAATTATACATAAACTCCCTTCACACCCTCCAACCTCCTCCTGGGCCTCTCATCTCCACCATCTCCGTACTCTACACACTGTATACTGGCAGGCACACCCAATAAACATGACATGACTTACCGCCTAACATAATGTTTGTTTATGAGTCATCCTACTCATTGCTGCTTGCAGCAACAATGAAAGCTAAAGTATTTGGGGGAAGACCTGACCTGACCTGATGCAATGCTGGGTGGAGGTAGGATGGGGGATTAATGGTCTCATATTACTGACCTGATGGAATGTCAGGTCACCCTTTCTTGGGTGGGGGGATTAGTGGGTCTCATGACCTGAAGATGTCTCGAATAAAGACAAAAGCTAAAGTATTTTTAGGGAGATTGTGATAAGTGTAAGTATAAATGAGCAAAGTTGTATCCCTTCAACATTACATTACATAACATTTTAAAATATGGAGTGAGAAAGCAGAAAGGTGTGGGTGATTAGAGAGATGGAGTGGTAACATGCACCAGTGTTGCCAAGCTTTCCTCAACCGCTGATGTTTATCTCGCCGCCAGGCAATCACACAACAAGACCCTTACTGGATGCGTGTTGTCTTAATTCCCGTGTGTGTGTCAGGAACTCATTTCAACATCACATACACACACACCCTCCAGCACCACCAACACACATTCCAACACCACCAACACACACCCTCCAACACCACCAACACACACCCTCCAACACCACCAACACACACCCTCCAACACCACCAACACACACCCTTCAACACCACCAACACACACCCTCCAACACCACCAACACACCCTAACACACCCTTCAACACCACCTTACAACCTCCAACACCACCAAAACACACACCCTCCAACACCACCACACACACCCAACACCACCAACACACACACCCTCAACACCACCAAACACACCCTCCAACACCAACACACACACACACACACCTCCAACACCACCAACACACCCTCCAATACCACCAACACACCTTCAACACCACGAACACACACCTCAACACCAACACACACCTCAACACCACCAACACACACACACCCTTCAACACCACCAACACACACCCTCAACACCACCCAACACCCTCCAACACCACCAACACACACACACCTCAACACCAACAACACACCCTTCCAACCAGCAACACACACACCCTCCAACACCACCAACACACACACCCTCCAACACCACCACACACACACCCTTCAACACCACCAACACCCCTCAACACCACAACACACACCCTCAACACCACCAACACACACACACACACCCTCAACACCACAACACACCCTTCTTCCACCAACACACCCTCTTCCAAACACACCCTCCAACACAACACACACCTCCAACACCACCAACACACCACACCCTCCAACACCACCAACCCACAACCTTCAACACCACTAACACACCCTCCAACCACAACACACACACCTCAACACCCACAACACACACCCTTCAACACCACCAACACACACCCTTCAACACACCCAACACACACCTCCAACACCACTAACACACACCCTCCAACACCACTACACCCTCAACACCACCAACACACACCCTCAACACCACCAACACACACACACACCCTCCAACACCACCAACCACCCTCAACACCACCAACACACCCCTCAACACCACCAACACACCCTCAACACCACCAACACCTCCAACACCACTAACACACCCTCAACACCACCCAACACCTCCAACACACACACACACCCTCCAACACCACCAACACACCCTTCAACACCACCAACACACACACCCTCCAACACCACCACCCAACACACACACCTCAACACCACCAACACATACCCTTCCAACACCACGAACACACACCTCCAACACCACTAACACACACCGCCAACACCACCAGCACACCCGTCAACACCACTAACACACACCACCAACAGACACCCTTCAACACCACAAACACACCCTCCAACACCACTAACACACACCCTCCAACACCACTAACACACCCCTCCAACACCACCAACACACACCCTCAACACCACCAACACACACCACACCCAACCCACCACACCCCTTCAACACCACGAACACACACCCTTCCACCACTAACACACACCCTCAACACCACTACACACACCCTCCAACACCACTAACACACCCCTCCAACACCACCAACACACACCCTTCAACACCACGAACACACACCCTTCAACACCACTAACACACACCCTCCAACACAACACCACCCTTCAACACCACCAACACACACACCCTCCAACACCCACACACCCTTCAACACCACTAACACACACCCTCCAACACCACCAACACACACCCTCCAACACCACCAACACCCCTCCAACACCACCAACACACACACCCTCCAACACCACCAACACACACACCCTCCAACACCATCAACACACATACACCCTCAATACCACCAACACACACCCTCAACACCACCAACACACACCCTCCAACACCACCAACACACACACCCTCAACACCACCAACACACACACCCTCCACAACACACACACCCCTCAACACCACCAACCACACCCTTCAACACCACGAACACCATCCAACACCACTAACACACACCCCTCAACACCACCAACACACACCGTCAACACCACTAACACACACCACCAACAGACACCCTTCAACACCACGAACACACACCCTCCAACACCACTAACACCCTCCAACACCACTAACACACACCCTCCAACACCACCAACACACACCCTCCAACACCACCAACACACACCCTTCAACACCACGAACACACCCTTCAACACCACTAACACACCCTCAACACCACTAACACACACCCTCAACACCACTAACACACACACCCTCCAACACCAACACACACCCAACACCACGAACACACACCCTTCAACACCACTAACACACACCCTCCAACACCACCAACACACACCCTTCAACACCACCAACACACACACACCTCCAACACCACCAACACACACCCTTCAACACCACCAACACACATACACCTCCAACACCACTAACACCCTCAACACCACCAACACACACACCCTCCAACACCACCAACACACACACCCTCAACACCACCACCCTCCAACACCATCAACACACATACACCCTCCAACACCACCAACACACACCCTCCAACACCACCAACACACACACCCCTCCAACACCATCAACACACATACACCCTCCAACACCATGAACACACATACACCCTCCAATACCACCAACACACACACCCTCCAATACCACCACACACACCTCCAACACCACCAACACACACCACCCTCCAACACCACCAACACACACCTTCAACACCACCAACACACCTCAACACCACCAACACACACCATCAACACACATACACCCTCCAATACCACCAACACACACACCCTCCAACACCACCAACACACATACACCCTCAATACCACCAACACACACACACCCTCCAACACCACCACCAACACACACACACACCCTCTAACACCACCAACACACACCCTTCCCAAACACACACCCTCAACACCACCAACACACACACCCTCCAACACCATCAACACACATACCCTCCAACACCATCAACACACATACACCCTCCAACACCACCAACACACACACCCTCCAACACCATCAACACACATACACCCTCAATACCACCAACACACACACCCTCCAACACCACCAACACACACACACCCTCCAACACCACTAACACGCACCTCCATCACCTCCAACACAAACCCTCCAACACACCCGCCAACACAAACCCTCAACATTCCAACACCACCAACACCTTCAACACCACGGACACACCTCAACACCACTAACACCTCCTTTACCTTTTGCACTAACACCTGCTTTTACACCTCAACTGTGCATCTCTTTTATAACACCCTCCATCACCTCCAACACAAACCCTCCAACACACCCGCCAACACAAACCCTCCAACATTTATTATTATATATTCTTGTATGATCAGCCTCTTATGGTGAATGTTTTATCATTGATAATATACAATATTAAATACTACTATAAAAAAATACGATATGAAGCGTTGAGTGCGACAAGGGGCCAAGCGCCAAATATCACAATCGAGAAAAGGCTCTTGAAGTTTGGAAAATCCAAAATTACATAACTTTTGAACCAATGAAGATATTGAGATCTTTGAAGTGGCAGTGTGTAAAATTCTTAAAGCGGGTTCGATT